CTCACCCTTCACCCTCATTCTCCAAAATCTGGATGTGAGATCAGGAGCACATTTCACTCTACAGCCTGTACTGTTCACATAAAACTAAGTGTTCAGATACTACGAATAGGGGTTGAAATTTGCTACGTAAAAGTAGTCGCGCAACCCACAGAAAAAAAACTTCCTATCCACACAGGTCCGCCACATCCCATCTCGGGCCCTGGTACCAGTTTTCTGGCTCGGGCCCCTAGCACAGAGGGAGGTTTGGGGGGACTCTCCCGGGAAATTTTTGAAATTTTAAATCTATTTGGACGCATTTTGAAGCTCTTATGATGGAGATTTTCCATTAATTTCTGCAGAATAATTACTCCTTTTTTTTACTTTCAGCACCAAATACTTTCGAATTGTTGCATTCAAAACATCTATAAATGTTTTTTTGAGGGGAGCAGATGATAATTTTCAATTCTAGGCTAACCGGGCCCCCCTGGACTCCCCTTTCGTACGTCTATGGCAAGGGAGTTGAGCCATTGAAGTTGAGGATGCCCAGACAGGAGTCTCTTCAACATTCGTCTCTTCAGCATTCGTCAACGGAAGAAAATGAAACGCAGTTGCTAATAATATCATTCTACATATAATCAAAATCTTGAAAAAAATAGAAATCTCTAAAAAAGTAAGAAAAATTTTATAGTGCCCTAGCGTGTTTTTGAAACTTTATTCATCTTTTGCGGAATTTTTAGAGTAATTTTTTCACCTCTTCTTACGAGACAAGGGTTACACATAAATTCGTAGTGGTTTGTCACCTGCGTCACGGGCCCCTCCAGGGCCCGGGCCCCGGTACCAAGGACCCAGTATCCCCCCCCCCCTTGTGGCGGGCCTGTATCCACACACTCATTCCATTGAGCACTGGAAAAAAGCACATTAAATCTAGAGTCCAGACTCTTAAAAACATCGACAAGAAAAAATACTCTTGATTCAATCGGATTTTTGCTTGAATCAAAAACAAAGCCTCTTAATTTGAGCGGATTTCCTTTTGATTTAAGCAAAAATCTGATTGAATCAAGAGTCTTTTTTCTTGTCAATGTTTTCAAGAGTCTGGACTCTAGATCCAATGTGTTTTTTTTCTAGTGAGAGTAACATGCGCTCCGGAGTACAATCCACTCTGAGTTGCATCTTCAGATTTTTTACGGTGCCTTTATACTGAGTTCAGCTCCTTATTGCAAGCCATGTATTTCGGATCCCACTTATCCAAGCTGTTCCGAGTATGTAAACAAATGCTGGAGATCTAAATAGATTTGAAATGTCTGCTGATAAATTTTTAAGCCGGTGAGCAATCGTGGAAACCACGGAAATGAAATTGACCCACGGTGTAAATTACGGTTGACATTCAATTTTCCAGGCCGGAGTTTGATCCGCGCACTTCTGAGAATGATGCACCTCGAACAAATTCATCAGAGGAACAGGCCGGCGCACTGGTTAGGTTATCTGATATAGTTATAAATTCGGCCAAAAATTACGAGATATATCAGAGAATTTATTCACTTGAACGAGCGTTAGTGACACGCTCTCCGTGGGGCTTCTGGGGCCCAGCAACCGGCAGTTTTATGGCCACTGTTGTCGGTTCGCCGGGAAATATCGCGCTTTCTACTTAATTATAAGGATTTTTTTGCACGGGTTTGGCAACTGGGGTTATGACTGGCCGCGGGTCGCCTCATAACCGACGCCCAACCAGTTTTCGAGGACCTTTTTCGTTTCCCACCCACCACCCCTCACCCCCGCCCCATTGATTTATCGGGCAGTTTGCTTAATTTACAGCGACTGCGCATGCACCTGAGGTATAAACAAACACATCATTTGATCTCGTCCTAATGACTTCATTTTCAGAGCCGGGCATCACCTTGCCCCTTCAAGTCCTCCGTTCTGCAACCGGCCCGGCTCGCGTAGCTCTGAGGGAATGAGGCTAGGTGCTAGGACTGATCGATGCCTGATAAGTGTTGCATATGAGGGTGATTCTTTAAAAGGAAACCAGGCAGACTTAACTGCGTTTCATGGGGCCTGCATTTCCTATGGATTTAATTCATTTTGCAGAACATTAAAAATCGTGATACCTTACACTTTTCTGTGGATTTTCCCTGCAATTTAAAAAAAAAAAAAAAAAAAAAAAAAAACGTTGGAAAGTATGTTATCCCCGAAATTTCAAGTTAGAATAGACCTTGCTTTTCTGGAAAAGTTCAAAACATGTGAGCGACTAAAATGAACTGTAGTTAGGCTGATTAAATATCAATAAAGTACTGTAAGATGCGCAAGTAAGCATCAAACCACGGTAGCTAGATAGATCTATTTGTAATCATCCTGAATGAATTTTATGAAGACTTATTTTCTCTCGCGTTTTATTACAGTAAAAGGAATCTTCGCAGCACAACCTCTTAAAAATATCTGTGAATCTCCCCGTCATTATTTCAAAAATTTTATCACAAAATTGAGATCATTCACTCACTTTTCTAGTGAAAATTTTAAAAAAAAACATAAGAAGAATCTGATGTATTTAGACTGATTCTGGTTAAGTCCAACGAATTATGAGAAAGATATAAAGCAGAGCTATAGAACAAATAGCCAGGGATCCAAATTTTAGTTATTTTTCGGTGAATTTACTTGGATAACATTGATTTTTTGACTCAGCAAAGAGCAAACAAGTCCACAGCAAGTACATAAGATTAAAACCTAGTGTTCCTTCCTACTCGTTTAAAAGTGACTTTCGTCAATTTTCGTCGGAGTTTTTCACTTGCGGGAGCTATAAATGTGGCCACAGTCTCAGAGACAGGTTCCCACGACGAAATTTATGCATCACGACTAAAATGTGCGGCAGACAAGGGCTCCTGCCGAGTGACATGAGTTTAATACTTCCAAAAGGGAAAAACACAGCGCAAGAAGAGAGTCCGCTCAAAGTGGGAAGGGGGAGGGGGGACTCATGATGACATCATTCTAGACGACCTTGGCGAGGCATGCGAATTTCGTTCATTTCAAGTCGTGCAGATTCTGAAGCCGGGAAAAGAATATCTGTTTTAAAAATATTATAATTGCTGAGAAACTAACAATGAACACGGAAGAAAAAGAGGCACGAGTTGTGTTGGATGATATGGGCATTTCCAATTGGACGTATTTCTGTCAAACGGAACTATGTGCATCGTAACGTGAGCCCCATTATGCATATATCTTCATGGGTTTCAGAGATCATGTCTTAATGCACATAGTTCCGTTTGGTAGAAATACGTCCAATTGAACCTAACGTAACCTAACTGACAATTTTAGCGAAAATGAGTTTGAGACATTGCCGCATTCTGCAGTATAAAATAGGCAAGCTGATGTTTTTAGTTTAGATTTTTTTGGTTCAAATGCCTCATCAAATCGCTAAAATGTATAAAATAATTTCCAAAAAAAATCTCACACTGAAAAAAATTCGCTTTGATCTAGAGTCCTGACTCTTAACAATATTGACAAGAAAAAATACTGTTGATTCACTCCGATTTTTCCTTAAATCGAATAGACGAGCCTCTAGATTTAGGCGGATTTCTTTTTGATTCAAGCAAAAGGTCCAATTGAATCAAGAGTATTTTTTCTTGTCAATGTTTTTAAGAGTCAGGACTCTAGATCCGAGCTCCTTTTTTTCCAGCAGTGCACCATTCCAAAAATGGCGAAGTTTCTTCTCCTATCCGTCCTGTAAAATCGTCAGTTTGCGGATAGGCAGTCTTGTTCCTCAGCTATCAACTTGCGGAGAGAGAAAAATACCGTGAACCATGAAAGATCACCACTGCCAATTTCCGGGTGAAAATGAACGATAGAAGAAAAACTTAAGTGCTTCGAACCGAGCGCACGGTAAGCACGAGTGATGTATTTTAACTTTTACGCCCGCTCCTTGACTTGCGGTGACGCGGTGTCGCTCACGAATTTACGTAAGAGCGTTATTACGGGTACCGATGGCAGAACAAACGCAAACACATGTAAGCAAGCACATCACAGTGCACCGGGTATTCTTACGAATCGTACGCATATTTGAACCTATTTATGCCAAAAGAAACTATGTCTCACGGAAACTGTATGCACATAGTTCGTTTTAGCATAAATACGTCAATTTCACCATGCTACGGCAGAGAGTCGTAACTTTCCATCATGGAGTGAACCTCAAAGCTCATAAAATCACGTGCTGACCGTAGCTGACGTGCGGATGACGTTACGGTTCTCTCCCGTAGTACGACAGGTTTGCCCCTTATTTTACGGAAGAGAGCAGTAACTCTGTATTATAATGAGCCGCGAGGCGCATAAAAGCACAAGCAGACCAGGGTTTACAACCGAATGAAGACACCTCTCTTTTCGTCGTTCTGCCGGTGTTAAGGGCGTATCTTTATTTCCGTATGAGCCCCGAAAAGCACAGTGTTATATAGAGAACAGGGCGTGGAAATCAAGATACGTCCTTACGTCAGGAGAGCGTCGTCTTGTAGTACGGTTGTTGCGGATTGGCGGTTGACCGCGGTACTACGGTGTGTTGACGGGACCATTAGCCGCCCGTCCAAGCTCCCTGTCCAGTATCGTAATACGAGGACATGTCGCGCTGGTTTTCGCGTCACGAGACCGTCACGACAGCGCCTTGGAAATATGATCAGGGGTGCCATTTCGGCCGAAACTTGGGGGTCAAGGGCGGAGACCTCATGTCTTCGTGGCCCCACACTCAGAATCTCAGCAATGTACGCAAGAGAGGCAAAAGTTGAATGCGGAGGTCAACGCTACTAATCGCGTGATGATGGTTGATGAGCAGCTTTTGGAGATATAAAAATAAAAAAAATGTGACGGATGGTGGCAGGTGAATGTCGGGGTGAGCACTTTGTTGGGTGAGTTTTTGCAAAATAGGTTGAGATTGCTACACTCGTCGTTTCCCGGACGAGCGAGCGTTTGGCGTTGAATTTGAAGCGTTTAAGTGTTATGCAGTGGTCTACTCGTTATAATGAAGTAGAAAATTGAAATTCACTCACCTATCTGACCAGCATAATGCATCGTCTCGGTATCTGAAAAAATAAATAAAACGACAAGTTAGTTCATTCCTCTCGGAAACCGTTATTTTTCTCTTGTAGATTGGCATTAGCCCTGTTTGTCCAGTCATTTTTGTGTCAGACACGTGTATAGAAAGAATAACATGGATACAAATTGACGAAACATTCATTTGTTTTCGTTGTTTAGTTTTCTAATGAAAACACGAAAGATGAGAGGAAGTCAGAGAACTAGAAATTCAGTTGGACTGATTCTGTCCGATTAGCAATTAACGTCATTTAGAGCCAGCTTGAGTTAAGAAAAATTCAAATTTTGTTACATTCAGTTTATAATTAGTGTCACCATTGATCTGATCTCATCGTCAAAATGGAAACAGAATATCATACCATATCTGGTATCATCCGTAGGAGAAAATTTTCCATAAAGTTTTTCGAATGCATGAGGAGGAAAATCTAGAAATTTCGGCGTAAATTTCTCTCTGAAAGCTCAAAAATTGAAGGAGATTCGAGTCCTGCAGCCTGACTGTAGAAATATTCAGTTTGTCGATCGGATAAGACAAGATTATGAAGAATTTAGTTATGTGATTGGTCAGCTTTATCCTTCGTCCTGTTTGTCGTGCCGATAGAGAGGACGACCAGGATTTGACGACCGACAACTCAAAAGATGCCTTTAGCTGCTGTATGATTACACCCTTTACCGGTACGACGAAGAGGACGAAGGATGAAGCTGACCAATCCCAAAACTCCATTCTCTTTGTTCTTGTCTCATCCGGTAGATAAGGACACAATTTCAACAATCAGGTCGCTGAAGTTCCAAGATAGATAATAGTCTTAGGTACAGGAAATATATGATTTAATTTTTGGAAAAAAGTTCCGGAAAATAAGCCCCCTTTCACAGATCCGGTCACATAGTACTTTTCAAAAAATACATACGATCGTGCTAATCCCGACCCAAAGTACAAGACAACATCGGGTAGCTCTGCAGTAAGCAAGACCAGAGTTCTGCCGTGCTTCAGAAGAACGCCGTATAAACATTCGAGAGTTTCCAAATTTTCTTCGATAAAACGTTCATTTTTTAGGAAAGTTATGAATATTTTCCCTTGAAATTTTTAGGAGCTTTTGGTAAAATTGCGATCAAAGGTATCTGAATAATTGGATAGAAAGTATTTATTAGTTTACCAGGTAATTCGTGTTTCATCAAAGGAAATTTGGCAACATTCGAATGCTCATACGGCGTTTTTCCTTAGCACGGGAGAGTTGGGATCAGATTATGCTGTGAGGAGGGTCACGGGGTCAGCGGTGGTAATGGAAGGGACGACAGAGGGCGGTAGCATCGGGGCTTGAATTATGCCTCGGCGGGTATCGGCCGGTGGACGGAGGATGGCGGCTAGACCGCGGGCCCGGAGGCTGGGCGCCATCCATCAATGCAAATATTTGCTCGAAAACGAATTCCGCGGACGGGAACGCCATCAAACACGCTCTCGACGATCTGTCGAGCGCACTTCATTAAGCTAATGTTCTGCCCGGCCACTAAGTGTGCCTTGCCTCGCGTTTCGGCTAACGTTGCCTCTGCTCCACCCGTTGCCGATATGCGCGCATGGAGCGAGATTCTCAAAAATCGAAACTTAGGCACTGAAAAAAAAACTTCGGCCGTGGGAGCCGCAATTGAGGGCTATATAGACATACCGTCCGTTCCGGACTCAAAGACCGAAAATTCCGGCTGCTGGAGCCGTAGCTTCGGCCTCTGAACCCGGAGCAATCGAAGCTACGCCCCCAGCAGCCGGAATTTTCGGCCTTTGAGCCCGGAACGGACGGTATGTCTTTATAGCCCTTAATTGCGGCTCCCTCGGCCGGAGTTTTTTTTTTTTAGTGAGAGTTAGAAAATGGCAGTATTTAATACTGGTTCCATGTATAAATTGTTTCAAAACAATAGAACATAGTATAGCCTCAAGCAAAAATTTTAGGTTGTAGGTTAGGAAAACTGAAAAAGTGGAAAATTGTAAATTCTTAACATTTCACTTTTCATTTTCAGGTAGTACTCATACGAATCATCAATTACAAAAGTCCGTGCCCTCGGACTACTCGATTGACTTTTGGGTCTGTTTTTAACCTCAGCGATGGAACGCTGGTTTGATTTGATGAACACTATCCATACGGCTAGGATCACTCAGAAAACTATAAGTAACAGAATGGTAGAATAAAGCTAGTTCGTACTATTGTCTGGACCGAAGTTCCCAAAAAGAAGCATTGACATAAAAAAATGAACTCTAATGAGTATGAATGTCTTTGTGCTTTCTCCTGTACTCTAATACCGAAAAATAAGAGCGCATCGGCGCGGCGGGGCTACTTTCTGGCTTTGGCCACTGATTTCAATGCAAATAACAAAATATATTTCTGCAAGGAGAGTCGAGTAAAAGTAACTGTACGTGTCATTGCGGAGAATTGAAAACACAAACACTACAACGAAATTCACTCGTCCTCCGGACATCACGCTAAACTGAATTGCGTGATACAACTATATCAACTCCTGAGCCGGTCAAATTGTATTCACAGAGTTGAAGGCGAACCTGATTTCTCGTTCCCGTTTTTAGTGTTTCAGACGTAAGGTTAAAAACGGTGCTTCATTGTGTCTTTCGGAATTTATCTCAATGTCAATATAAAAATATTTTCTTGTGGGGAGAATCGAGTAAAAGTTACTGGACGTCTCACTGCGAAGGCCATTGAAAACACAAAAACTACAAAGAAATTCACTCGTCTTTCGGACATCACGCTAAACTGAGTTGCGTGATACAACTATATCAACTCCTGAGCCGGTCAAATTGTATTCACCGAGTTGAAGGCGAACTTGATTTCTCGTTCCCGTGTTGAGTGTTCTAGTCCAGACGTAACCGCAAGAACGGCGCTATATTTTATCATTTTGCAACGAATCTCGCGTCCGCGTTTGAAGAATCTGCTCTTTCATCGACACCTCTTCAAATCTGATATCCTACAATACTATCTTGGTGAGAAAAAAGGCCGAGTGAGCCTTCAGACATTGCCATATAACCTTTAATGATAAACGAATTGACTGGGAAAATTATGAATATTTTTCTTAAAAATTGTTCAAAATTTAATCTAATATATCTGAAAATTAAAGAAAAATATGTATAATTTTCCTCAAAAATACATGTCTTACTTGGAAAAATTAGGCAACTCTTGAATGTTCATACGGTGTTTTTCCATATCACGGCAGAATATTCACATACACCCGAACTGCACTTACTTCCTCCTTCCATTCTTCTGCATTGGAATGAGACTCTCTTTTCCTTTTCCTCTTCCTCTCCTGACCTACCGCCTAATTTTCCTACGTCCATTCCGAGACTCGAGAAATAAAGAATTCAATTCTCCCAGCGCCCCCCCCCCCCCCNCGTCGAAGTCTCTCCTCTCCCACTGCGTCCGGTTTTTTCGCAGGAAGATAAATGGCCGCGCGGTAGCTATTACGGGTTTGTTTTAAGTTTGTATTTAAACACGTTATCGCGAATCGGAGATTTCTTTGCGCCGAGCAGTATCGGATGTGAGGGATACGGGGCTATCACTGATTTATGGCCGTGTAGTTCATAATTAAACGAAATCGACAAAGTGTCTTCCGACGTTGTCCGATCCCCGGTCAATTCCAAGGACCTTCGTTTGAATTTCGCGCGATTTTAGTCGAGATTTTGCAAATCGGATGCTTCGTGCTGAGGTTCCTCAACCTCTTGTCTACGCCGCATGGTTGCCGATCATAGAAGGAAATTATTTGTTTCCTATAAAGAATTACTTTTTATGGAGTAAATTATGCGTTGTGTGCAGAGAGGGCATTTTTTGGTCACGGTGTCTCAAAACATCCTCTGCTAATTCATATTTTACAGAAGCGACTGTATAGAAAATGTTCTGATTTTTGCTTTGTTTTCAGCATTGTATAATTATGAAGAAAATTAAGTGAAAAATAATCCACTAATTTGCTTTAATTATAATAGATGAGGCGTTAGTGGAGATTCTGAGATACCGCAACCAAAGAATGCCCTCTCTACACCCAGCACTTCAAATGTACCCATGTCCATAATTTAATAGGTTTCCCGAGTCCTCAATCAAGTGAAATTGGAAAAAAAAAACCGTAAAACAAGTATTCGTCGTGGTGTTGGCTAGGTAGCTGCTAGCAAAGCACAGAAATAATGTTTTGGTTCAAGAGTTAAAGCATTATCATTACATAAACTTCAAAAATATATTTATAAAACGTTGTTAAAAAGTCCTAAATTAATTTAAGCTGATTTTAAAACTTTTAGTGTGATTTAAAGACTTTAAAATGACTTTAAACCTATTCAAAAGTATTCATGTTACCATGCGTTAGCTTCATAAATGCCCCATGCTCTTGGAAAAATTCAATAGTTTTTTCTCCGTTTTTAAAGAAACATTTCATTGTTTTTAGAGTTGCTTTGACACATCTCTCAAGCATCATTCAGGTATTAGAAAAGTGGTGGAGAGGAAAGGAAGAGAAGCGATGCGCCAGTAGGAATCAATTGAAAGCCAGTAAGATGATGGGTATATCATTAAGCGTCAGCATCCCCTTTTGAGAAGGAGGTCCTCAAAAGGGTGCGGATAGGTCAGGAGATATAATCAGCCCCTCGACGCGCGACGGGTGACCTCGCTCGAGTGTAAGGTCAGATCAGGATTGCCTATTGTCCCCGAACATTGCGCGTCCTTACGTTTGTTTTTTTTTTAAAAAAAAAATAAAAAAATTTTGAGAGTTGGCTACTATGGGTGAGGTAATAGTGTTGATAATCTCACCAACCTCGGTCCCGGTATAGAACGGTACCTCATCCAGGTATGTCCTGTCTACTTTTCATCTTTATTTGTGCGACTCAAGTGCTGGTTTCTCCGAATTTGTTTCTTGAGAGGGGCCCGCATTCCTTAACTCCGTTGCAAATTTATTTTGTAAAAATTGAAACCAACGGAGGAAAATTTGTCGCGACATATTCACACCAGTTTGAAGGGGGTGATGA